GGGCGGACCGACTCCCGGGACCGACCCCGCGCCCGGCTTCCCGCCGCGCAACGCGCGTTCCCCCGCGGGAAATCCACGAGACGAGGGGCCGGCGCAGGCCCCGCCCGCCTCCATCCAGGTTTGCCGTCTGAGAACTGCAGAAACAAAACCAACCCCCCCCCCACCCCTCAAACTTGAAAAAAAGACAAATCCCAAAAGATCCCCACCAAAAACCTCTACTTGAAAACATGGGGGGAAAAAAATTAAAAAAATTTAAAAAAAATTTTAAAATTCCAAACTTCGAAAAAGCCCCCATTTCTTGAATTTAGGGTAAGTTCCAGCATCCTCTCATGACCCTACCTAGTAAAAGTGGGACCTCGTGGATCTTTCATGAACCCCCTTTGGCTGCTTGTCCTGGGATGTAATTCTGTTGTCACAGCGTGGTGGATTAACCACAACTGACAGAGGCCAGTTGAGATGCCTGCAGAGCTGTAACTTCTTCCCTGCAAAAATGGATAAGGCCTTAAGATTTTAGAGCCTGAGAGAGAAGTCAGTCCCAAAAGTGAAGGGACACACACGGGAAAAAAAGCAGTCAGTAAGTGTGGGTCTTAGATGTGACATGGCCTATTATGCAGGATTTAAGGATCAAGGCTCTCGGAATCAGACCAGGTGGATTCAGATCCTTACATGGCTGTGACCTTGTCAAGTTATTTCATCTCTCTGTGCCCCATCCTCATCTATAAAATGTGGGTCAGGCTGGGCGTGGTGGCTCAGCCTGTAATTCCAGCAGCACGTTGGGAGGCCAAGATGAGAGGATTGCCTGAGCCTAGGGGTTTGAGACCAGCCTGGGCAACTGGGTGAGACCTCATCTCTACCATAAATCGCAAAAACTAGCCGGGTGTGGTGGCATGCATCTGTAGTTCCAGCTACTTGGAAGGCTGAGGCGGAAGGATGGCCTGAAACCAGCGGGTAGAGGCTGCGGTGGCTGTGAGCAGCGTGTCACTGCACTCCAGCCTGGGTGACAAGAGTGAGACTCCAACTCAAAAAAACAAACAAACAAAAACTGTGGGACAGTATACAGCATTTACCTAAGGTGTGATACTAAAGAATATTGGAGATGATGCCTTTAGAGTACACAGCACAGTTCTCCCCCAGCAGAAAGCATTGCAATAAACACACACTATTGTCATTATTAGTATTTATTGCTGCATTTCCAAGATGCTGTTCAAAATATTAAAAGCTGTAGTTCTTTCTAGTGGCTTACACGTTGGCAACTAAGGTAATTCAGTATTTTTCTTGGAGTTTCCAAATTATTTTTTTCTTTCTTTTTTTTTTTTTTTTTTTGATAAATGAACTTCCAGGAAAGTATAGGTATAGATGTTTATAGCTGAAGGTGTTAAACCCAAGACTCTAATCAGGGAGAGAGAGAGAGAGAGAGACCACAAAGAGCCAGCTCCGATGCAAACACACGAGGGTCTTTATTCAGGCTTGAGTCTGGGCTCACGCATGAAGCCCGTAGAGGCTTCATGGACCAGAGCCCTGATTCACAATGGCAAGCAGTTTTTATGCACAATTACAGAGGGAGGGGAAAGAACTTTAAACTTGATTTTATATGATTGGGTAATTTCTCCTAATGGGTACGGGAACACTTGGTATTGGTTGGTGCCTTTCGTGGCTGTAACCTGACTGCCCGTGATTGACAGAAACCCACTTAACGGGCAGAGTGGAATGTCAGATAAGTTAGGTCCATACAGTCACTGCCTGTAAATTAACCTGAGCAGGCAGGTAAAGGGTTACATCAGCCCTTTAAGTTTGCTGACCCAAGGTATGCTTAGGAAAGCTTGTTTGCTTAACATTTACATAACATAACATGGTCATTATGGGACAACAAAAGCCCAACTTAACAAAGTTTTACATATGAATGCTGCAAACACATACAGTGAATGTGGGGTAGAAATTCATATAGTACTAATTCTGGGAAATTATAAAATAACACAAACGTTTTATAGCAAGGCGGTTTTTTAAAAAAGTCTTTGTTCCCTTCAGGTTTACATAGCCACTGCGTGTAAATTAACACGGGCATGGAAGCAGGTGGTTTAAATCAATATAAAGCCCACCTAGAGAGGAGCTAGCGCCTCAAAGTCTACTGATAGGAAAGGAATGTCTGAAAGGGGCTTATCGCTTTAACTTTTTCATCCCGTTGTAAAAGCAGAAGTCTGTATGGCAAATAGGACTGACAATGCTTAACCTAAGAGTTCTAAATACAAACACCACTTAAAACATTTTATATAACTACACAATCAGTCACGACATATGCCTAATTCTACGGGGTGTGAGGCAGGATTTAAAGTACTAAGATTTCATAAAGTACAATGAACATGAGGTAGGATTACACAAAATATATAGTAAACATGAGGTAGGGGTATATGAAATATAGTGAACTGAACACTTTTAAGTTTCTTGGTTTCTTGGGTCTCTCAATAGCTCCTAAGTCTATCATTGTCCTCTCAAAGGGTTGTTTCTAAAGTAGCGGTTCTTTTTTTTTTTTTTAGTTGGAGTCTCACTCTGCCGCCAAGGCTGGAATGCAGTGGCACACTCATGGCCACCGCAGCCTCCACCTGTTGTGCTCAGGTGATCTTTCTGACTCAGTCTTCCAAGTAGCTGGAACTAAAGGCGTGCACCACCATGCCTGGCTAAAGGTAGCAGTTCTTAAAGAATGATCAGTGGGCCTCTGGGGAGTCCCCAAGACCCTTTACAGGCTCAGCAATGACAAAATTGTTTTCATATTACAACGTTATTTGTCTTCTTTTTTACTAAAATGTGTACTCTGATGGTGCAACAGTAAGGATGGGTAAAACTGATGGCCCTGGCCAGGCTCAGTGGCTCAGCCTGTAATCCCAGCACTTTGGGAGGCCAAGGCGAGTGGATTGCTTGAGCCCGCAAGTTCGAGACCAGCTCAGGCAACTTGGCAAGACTTCATCTCTACAATAAATCAAAATTATTAGCTGGGCATGGTAGCTAGCGAGTGCCTGTAGCTCCGGCTACTTGGAAGCCTGAGACAGAAGATCACTGGAGCCCAGCAGGTTGAGCATGCCACTGCACTCCAGCCTGGGCGATGGAGTGAGACATCAACTCAAACAACAACAACAACAACAACAAAAGATGGCCTGTAGCAGGAATCCTAGCTGTGGAACAAAACAGAATCAGTAGTCACTGCATCTTTCACCAATAAGCACTTGCCCTGAATACAAGTGAACCAAAAGTGTCATTGAAGAATATCCTCTTTGAAGTGCTCAAACCCCTTGTGACAGGATGGAAAGTTCATAAAAGCACCCCAGCTGCATCTGAAAGATGGGGGATGTCCATGACCTTGGGCAATGGTTTGCGATGCAGAACCGCTAGGTGCTCTTTTTCCTGGAACACCATTTTTACTTAAAAGAAGAACTGACAGACAAACTGTGGCTTCTCAGATTTGGACATTTGGCAGACATAGTCTCCAGAATGAATGAAATGAACTTGTCGCTTCAAGGAAAACAACTGATAGTATTGACTACCAGTGACAAAATTCAAACTTTCATGTGAAAATTCAAACTTTGAGCAAACCTGTATCCATCCCTGTGAGTTTGACAGCTTCCTGGTATTTAAAGATTTTTCTTTCTCTTTTTTTCTTTTCTTTTTTTGAGTCTAAGTCTCTTGTCACCCAGACTAGAGTGCAGCGGCACGCTCATGGTCACTGCGGCCTCGACCTCCTGGGCTTAGGCGATCCTTCTACCTCAGCCTTCCAAGTAGCTGGAACTACAGATGCATGCCACCATGCCCAGCTAGTTGTGTTTGTGTGTGTGTGCGCGTATGTGATTTATTGTAGAGACAAGGTCTCACCAAGTTGCCCAGGCTAGTCTCGAATCCCGGGCTCAAGCAATCCTCTCATCTTGGCTTCCCAAAGTGCTGGGATTACAGGCTGAGCCACCATACCCGAACTTAAAGATTTTTCTAATGATCTCAGAAGTGGGACTCACAACTATTGTTTATTAATTGACTGTGGCATTATAAGAACTAAATATTTAGCCTTTGACTCTGGTTTCTGACACAAAACTCCTTAAATTCCTTGG